ACCGGGGTTCCAGTCTTTTAGTCGTTTTGGGGGGCTCTTCTCTTAGCAGCACCTGCACTGAATAGGTTTGGATTCAGAGAATGCAAAGTGTTATAATAGGAACTTGAACAGCCTTCTGCTTGCATTTAGTTTTCCTTCATCAAGTACAGGGCCTGCCGGCAGTCTCGGGTATGGCCACAACTGTTTGGGATCTGGATGTCTTGAGTAAGACAGAAAGTTCCTTCGTGCTTCAGGGGGATGGCACCATCGCCTTTGGGACTCTGCAAAGTTTCCTTCCCGCGGGGATCTGGACAAGCGGCTCTGATCGTTGCTGTTGTGCTCACAAGAACCGTGCTCGAGTGTCAGCAACGGACTGAAAGACAAATTCTCCTGACACTGAATGATGCCTTCCCTCGACTGCTGCAGCTTGGAAAGGCTTAGGGAGCCGCACACTCGCATATCCAAGAAAAGTCAGCGAAAAGAGGAATAGTTTACAGGATGATATCCCTGATAAACTGTTGTGGGGGGATAAAATATAACGTCGTGGAGAGCGCAGCTTTAACCCAGGCGACACACACCAGGGAAGGTAGAGCTGATGATACGTAACTCAGCTAGGGAGCAGCTCAGGACAGCAGACACTGCATCTGCTTTCCAAGTCGATGTGAATTTGGTGAAGCAAAAAGAAAAAGAAACAGCCAACTTGCAGACTGAGCGGCAAGAGTGTGACCAAGGCCATCGGTGTGAGATCAGGTTTTTTTTCCCCCCCCCAGACCAAAGACCCAAGAGGGACCAGAGTGAACTCAGTAAAGTGTGAGCCCTTCCTCTGAGCTGTGAAAGCATTGAGTGCCCAATCTTGCAAGGGCTCAATGCCTTGCAATAAATGTTGGGGACACAGAGCACCCTGCCTGCTAGAGCCCATCTGTTTAGAAAGAGCTGTGTTGTGGGGACCGCGCGGTAGACCATCTATAGACAAAGAATAACATCATATGCTGCACCCAGCGCAGAGTCTCAGAATAGCCGCGCGCCCCGTGGAGCTTTCTCTGTGTACGCAAAACACACGGGAGCAAAATCTGGAGTTGCAGATGCTCAGCACTGCGAAACATTGGGCCCTGAATCAGTACAGCCTGATCAAACCCTCCAAGCCGTTGCAAGAAATGCCTTTCAAACCAGTGAAATAAAGAGCATCCCTTTGG